CAGCATGTGCGTGAAGTTTTGAAGTCAGACAGTCGGTTAAGCATTCAGGTAATCGCTAACACCCTAAACTTGTCAAAATGTGTGGTACATGGGATTGTGACGGAGGATTTGCAAATGCGAAAGGTGTGTGCGAAGCTTATGCTGAAGTTGTTGACGAAGGAGCAAAAGGAAGTTCGAGTTTCCCGCAGTGAAGAATTGCTGGAATTGATGAGTTGGTGCCCCAGCCTCCCTATAGCCCTGACTTGGCACCATGTGACTTTTTTTTACTCCCCCGACTGAAAAGAGAGCTGAAGGGAAAGCACTGGGAGTCGGTGGAGAACATCCAAGCTCATGTTACAAGGTTCCTGAGAGGCATTCCTGTCAAGGAGTTCCAGGGTGCCTTCCAGACATGGCAGAATCGTCTCCGCAAGTGTATTGATGCATAGGGAACTATTTTGAAGAATTTTAGCCATTTGTACCCATAGGATCAATAAATCTATTTTTTCCCAGAAAATGCGCATCACTTTCAGTTAAAATCTCTAACTAATCAGCAAAAATAACAAAATATATCCATTTAATTTAATTTGCATGTCCATTAAAAATAATTAACATAAAAATAATTAACTTTTCCTTGTTACTACAAACATGCCCATGCATGTGTAGGTTCTCTTCCATTTGCCTCACACAAAACTTTAAAAGCTCAAAAATCATAAAATTTAATAACTTCATTCAATATTTTTTTTAAAAATCTGCTTACATATTTCTGTATACTAATGATTTAATGTAAGGGGTGCAAAACTCTTTGTTCATCGACCTCGAAACATTTTATAGCCCTCTTATCAACCCATTTTGTTAAAAAAATGATAACAAAAAGAAAAAATTACCTGTTTCTTATATGATTTATATATATTCGCAAGATAAAATTTTTGCATAAATCAACGTGAAGAATGTGCTTTGCAAAATTAACAATTTGGTTAGAAATTTGTTAGCTTCAGTCTTAAATCGCCTCAGAGCTCCACATTCGTTTTATTTTTTGCAATGCAGGAATGGAATTTGCATGACTAAAGCCAGATTTAATTGTAGGAATGTGAATGGTAGTGCAAAAGGTAAATGGTGCATTACATAGTTTTGGATATTTTTGCGTAATATTTAAATTCATCCAAAATTTAATTATGTATTAAAAAGCATTTTTGCCTTCAAGTCAGCTAATTATTTAATAACTTCATTTTGAAGGTGTCTGCCTATATTTTTAACTTACGAAGTAAGTGGCTTCGATAATCCATTATGGGATATTCATATTTTTAATATCTAAAATGTGTAATTTAAAATAATCGCTTTATTGTAAGATTTTTGCGACAGGGTGCCATTGACATTTATTTATCGACATAGTACATCGGATCAATCCCTAATAATACCGTATCGACCCACAGGGGCCGATATCAACCAATTTGGTGACTCATGACTTAATGTGAATGCAACAAAGTGAAAAATTGCTTTGTATTTGCAGTTGAAACAGAAAAAGTAAACTTTTATTAAATATTCCTTATTTAAGTAACATTTAACAACTAGTAGTTAAGTCAATGACTAATATTGAAGATGCCATAAATACAAAATGTCTTGACCAAAAAAAAAAGATTTATTTAAAAGAGTTATTTGCATAAAAGCAAAAAGTTGGGGGACTAGGCTTCAATTACTTTGGATAACCGAGGCTTTGTTGTATGTTTGCTAATTAAAGATGTTAACTGCTAAAAGAAATTAATATTTAATTTCAAATTATTTACTAAAATGTATTAATCTATTAACTGTTACTGAAACCAGTATTAATCAGATTAAATTGGTAGCTTATATGGTTAGCAATTTTATACTTATATTACATTTCCATTTACTTTTTAGAGAAAGAAATTTGGTATGAGTATGAAACAGAAGACACTGTTCCACTGGAAAAATTGAGGCTCTTAGGTAATCAAAATTATTCATTTGCTTTGTCTCTCTGGAGTTTTTTATTTCTATTTATTTACTTACATACTTAATAGTTTATTTGAAGATTTTTAATTAAGTTAAATGCAGTATTGTAAAAAATTGTTGTAAATTGGAAAAATTTTAATATTGCATAATATATATAATTTCGGGTGTTACTGAGATGTATAAACATATATGTAATTATTTGACTCAGTTTTACTTAAGTTGTTATTAAAACCTTGTTTTTGACTTTTTTAAAACTCTAGAATGAAGCTTTGTTGTTTCATTAAAAAAATTTTGAAATTAATTACTAATTTAAAAAGCTCTGATGTAGAAATCTTTCTAATTCTTTAATTACCACAACTACTGTTTAAAATAACTAATATTATTGATTATTTTTTGTAATTATTTATCATTTTCGTGTATTAGAACAGAAAAATAGCTGTTGAAAAAATATTTGTTTGATAGTTAATTGTCCAATTAAAAATCTTATTCATTTTTACATGATTTTACTTTAGATGGTATATTGTAATTAATTTTGCAGAATTTTTATATTACAAATCTTTATATATATATATATATATATATATAT